CGCCGGCCGCTCGGGGACCCTGGGGCCGCCTGCGCCCCAAGCTGCTCCCGGGAGAGCCGCGGGAAGCCCCCCACCTGCAGGTAGGAGCGGGGTGCTCCGGAATGAGGGGCTGGTGGTGTCCGTGGGGAGTGGAAGCAGCCGGCTCCCTCCTCCCCGTTCTCCAGGGCTGGATGAACCAGCTGCACGTGTACGACCCCGAGCTCTTCCACCCTTCGCTCACGCACTCGGTGCTCGCCGTGCTGGACGGGGCCACCCTCAAGCTGTCCTACCCCAAGAGCAACATCCCGCGCCGAGCCACCTTCGAGGAGGAGATCCTGGACGCCGTCTTCGTCAGCCACCGCTGCTACGACCTGACGGACGCCAAGGTGGGCCCGGGGGTCCCCAGGAGCCTCCCTCCCACGGGGACCCCCCCCCAGCCTGGCCCGGGCTCACCCCACTCTCGGTGCTGCAGGTGTTCCTGAGCCCCCCAGTCTGGTTTGGGCTCACCCCACTCTCGGTGCTGCAGGTGTTCCTGTGCCCCCCCAGCCTGGCCCGAAAGCGGACATGGAACAAGAAATATCCCATCTGCGTGCTGCTCCCCGAGCCGGCCGAGGGAGAGGGCAGCGAGGAGCAGCAGGACACGGAGCCTCAGGGCGAGGAGGGCAGCAGGAAGGTGCCCCTGGCCGGGCAGGACACCCCAGGGGACAGCAGGGACAGGTGCCTGTACCTGTTTGGGAGGACGGGGCGGGAGAAGGAGGAGTGGTACCAGCACCTCGTGCAAGCCTCCCGTGGGACAGCCAGCGGCCACGGTGACACCAGGGCAGGTGAGGGGCAGGAACACAATGCCTTGGTGGGCAGCAGGGAGCATGGGGGGATGTGGAGGAGCCCAAAGTGTAGCCAGGAGGGTTCAGGTGGGTGGCATGTCACTGGTGTCACGGACAGGCATCATGTCACAGCTGATGCCATCCTGAGTGAACAGACTGGATATTAGGAATATTGGATATTAGTGAATATTGGATATTGGTAACAATTCTTTCACTGAAGGGCTGTCCAGGCCCAGGGCAGGCATGAAGTGCCCATCCCTGGAGGGGGTTAAAGCCATGTGGATGTGGCACTTGGAGACATGGGTGGGTGCTGGCCTGGGTGGTGCTGGGGAGTGGATTGATGACATCAGAGGGGTTTTCCAAGCTCAGGGATTCTGTGGTTCCACATCCCCAGGCACGGGATGGGCCCCGCAGAGCAGCGGCAGCAGCAGCGGGGACAGCACTGAGGACATCCCATCCACGGATCCCTCCAGGGATGTGTCAGGAAGCACTGAGGAGATTTACCTGGACTACAGCACCTACATGGCCCGATTTGTGCCAGCACAGGGGGCAGCCAGCCCGGAGAGGAGCCCCTCTCACGGAGCTCTGGGCAGCCCCACACCCACAAAGGTGAGAGGGACAAACCCAGCACTGGGAGTGGGGCTGGAGGCTGATGGAGCCACGCTTCCAGGGTGTGGTTTGTTTGAGCAGCCAGGCCCTGGGGCAGGGAGCACAGACAGCAGGTGCCACTGCTCACAGAGCCACCTCGCTGCAGGGGCTGGTGGCTGCTGTCCCCCCCCAGGAGGACACGGCCAGCATGGCCTGGATGAACGCCCTGGTGGGACGCATCTTCTGGGACTTCCTGAGGGAGCAGTACTGGGCAGAGCAGGTGTCCAACAAGATCCAGAAGAAGCTGAGCAAGATCAAGGTGAGAGGCAGGAGCATCACTCGGGGAAGCCCTGTTCCCAAGGCCCCATGGTGAGTGGTGACTGTCCCCATGGGGGTTTTCCTCCATCAGCTCCCGTATTTCATGAACGAGCTGACGCTGACAGAGCTGGACATGGGCACATCCATCCCCTCAGTGCTCAGTGCCTCCAACCCCACCATCAATGAGCGAGGTAAGAGCCCCACAGAGGCACAGGGATCCCAATGCTGCCTCCAGGATGGCTTTACAGAGCTGCCAGCCCAGAGCTGGGAGGGCTTGGCAGTGCACAAGCAGCTCTGACCCCTGTGGTGCTGACCTGATGTGCCCTGTCCCTCTCCCTGGCAGGGCTCTGGGTGGACATGGAGGTCACCTACAGCGGCTCCTTGCAGATGACACTGGAGACAAAGATGAACCTCAGCAAGCTGGGGAAGGAGAGTTCTGCAGAGGAGAGCGGCCCTGCAGAGGCAGGCAGAGAGGGGTAAGGAACCTGCCCATGGAGGGGCTCATCCTGCTCCTCCTGCCCCGGCGAGGCGAGGCCGCTGTCCCCGAGCAGGCTGTGACCTCCTGGGCTGGCAGGGCCCGGCCGCGGCTGATCCTGCTGGCAGACAGCGACGCCGAGTCCTCCAGCGCCGGCTCCTCCGACGAGGACGATGCCACCAGTGCAGAGCCCGTGGGAGCCCCGGGGGAGCGGCTCCCCCCACCCAGCACCGAGGGGTACGGGGGTGCTGGGGGTCTGTCTGTGCCACGGGGGGCACGGGGAGGGGATGGGGGCACACAGTGCCACAGCAGCACGGGGGCATGGGGACGGTGTCCCTGGCAGGACACACACAGCTCATCGTGGCAGCTTCCAAAGGGGACTCTGTCCCTGTCCTCTGTCCCTCTCTGTGCTGTGGCAGAGGGCTGGGGGACCTCCAAATGCAGCAGGGCTGAGCTGGGGCCCCTCCTGCTTTAGGCACGTCAGTGGGAACAGCACGAGCAGGAAGATCCTGCGCTTCGTGGATAAGATCGCCAAGTCCAAGTACTTCCAGAAGGCCACGGAGAACGAGTTCATCAAGAAGAAGATGGAGGAGGTGTCCAACACACCACTGCTGCTGACGGTGGAGGTGCAGGAGCTGACAGGAACCCTGGCTGTGAACATCCCCCCGCCACCCACCGACCGTGTCTGGTACCAGATCTCCTTCCCCCACATCACATCCCACTGCCAGCGCCCCTTGCTCCCTGCAAGGAGCCAGCCCCAGGGCCCTGGGCTCATCTTGGCACCAACAGCCCCAGGCTGCTCCCCAAAGGGACTCAGACCTCAGGCTCATTCCTCTGAGTCTGCACCCAGGCCAGCACAGATCTTGGCACCCTGAGCTGTCACCTCCTCCCTGAAACCCCTCAGTGAGGCTGCCTGGCCTGTGCCACACCTGTGGCAGGTGATGCTTTCTGCCTGTTTCCTTTCCCCTCCCAGGTACAGCTTCCGAGTGCCCCCGCAGCTGGAGCTGAAGGTGCGCCCCAAGCTGGGCGAGCGGGAAGTGACATTCCTGCACGTCACAGAGTGGATCGAGAAGAAGCTGAAGCACGAGTTCCAGGTGCCTGGGCTGCTGTTCAGGGCCTCAGCAAACCCTGCTGGGCCTGGGGCATTGCTGCCATCAGGGAGAGGCAGCCTCAGTTCAGGGCAGTTGTTTCTGCAAAAAGCCAGCACCGGTCTGGTCAGGCCAGCTTGGAGCAGTGAAGATACAGAACCCAAATAATGAGCTCAAGGGCTGAGGAAAAGTGATTTCCTCCCATCATTTGCAGCCCTGCCCCAAGCAGGGAGGGTTCAGCCCCAGAAGAGATGAATCCACCTGTCCATTCTGGTTTGGGGATGTTTGGGAGATTTGCCTTCCCAAGGGTTCGTGTTCAGCCTCTCACCTCTGCTCAAAGAGCAGAAATGTCCCCACAGATATTTAGGGTCTCCCAAAAGCCACCCATTGTGGATGGTTTCAAAATGCTGGTCCCTCCCCTCTGCTGTGACCACCCCTGCAGTCATTGAGGTGGCCAGGGCAAAGAAAAACTGTCCCTGCTTGTCCCCACCCCGATATCCAGAGCTGGGACCTTCCTGGGGCTGCTGCTGTGGGGGTGGGAGCCCAGAACCTCCTGTTTATCCCCACATACCTCCTGCCAAGCCACCTCCAGGAGTGTCCCCATGGTGTTCAAACCCACTGATTTGTTATTCTGGCTTCCTCTTTGTAGAAAATTCTGGTGATGCCAAACATGGACGATCTCATCATGCCCATCATGTGCTCTGGCCTGGATCCTTGGCCCCGCAGCACGGGACTGCCCCAGGACCCACCAGCCACGGGGGACAGGAGGCTCTGAAGCACAACCCAGGGGCAGGGACACTGCCCAGAGCTCAGGGACCTTGCTGGGACGTGGGACAGCCAGGCCTGGCCGCTGCCTGCAGCCAGGGCTGTGCCTGGATTCATCCTCATGCTCTGCTTGTGCAGATGAGCCTCCTCAGATCCTGCAAGCACACGTTCAGGGCCCAGCCAGGCTGCTGGAGACCCAGGGATTCCACGGCCACGCTCCAGGACTCCTGGTCAAGCAGGCAGCTCTGGGCAGTGGAGGGCTGGGCTTCCCACTGTCTGCTTCCAAAGAGGGTGCAGGACACCTGGATCACGGCACTGAAGGAGTTGGGATCATTGCTGATCCAGAATTCCCAGCTCTGGGGCATCCCCCCTCCCCACAGGCAGCTGGGCTGCAAGGACAGCATGGGTGGGAAAGGCTCCCAGGTGAATAAATCCATCTCTGCCCAGCCCTGCCTGGCAGCCCTCTTGTTGTGCACAAATTCCCACCTCTGCCAGGGTCCCAGCCAGGATCAGGGGGCTTTGAGCAGGGAAAAGCCCCCAGGTTGCACTTTCAGCATGGGAAAAGCGGTGCTGGAGTGTGTGGGAGAGGCATGAGGGGACAGGCAGGGAGCCTGGGCAGAGGCAGGCCATGGGCTGGCCCAGTATTCCCAGTGGAAACTGGTGCAGAAGTGCTGGAAGGTTCTCTGCTGGATGAGAGGGGGGAGAGACCTCGTGGTGATTTGGGTGAGAGGGAAAAATTCACTGGGAGGAAAGGAAAGGGAGGATCCAGAGGGCAGAGCAGACACTTGGCTGTCCCAGTTAGTCCCTGTCCACATGGGCCAGTCCCAAATGCCACTTTTCCCATCCCCACCTGCTGAGGAGCCTGAGAACAGGCAAGAGACCCCTCCAGAAGGAGAGAGGAGCAAGCATGGCTTGGAGCCCCTTTATTGCAAGTGCCCAGCCAGGCAGGTTGGATCTCTGTCCTTAGAGCTCTTCCTGAACACCTGGCTTCTCCTTCACCAAATGTTTCTTCTGAGGGCCCTGGAAGAGAGCAGAGAGGAGAGTTTGGATTTAGGGACACACAGACCTGGCCTGGATGGCTGTGTCTGAAAGAAAGGCAGCTCAGGCCAGCAGCTGACAAATGGGGTTATCCCACAGCAAATCAATCCTATGGGAGTAGGTGGCAGGAATTACTTATGTCCCTCAACTTCCAGACAAATGTCATGTTTTACCACAGAATCCATGGGGCAAAATGGCAAAGAAAAGAGCTGCAGCCAGGTCAGGCCTCCTCCTGTCACCGTGCTCCTCATCACAGCAGCTCAGGGCTGGCAGTGACACAACAGGCTCCTGACACTGAGCTGAAGGCAATCAGCTTAACCTCTAAAGAGCTCTGCAAAGGCAGTGCCTCACCAATCGCCCTGCCAGCACTAAGGAGGCTTAGCCAGCTTCACATGGCATTTCTGGCTGACAGGCCAGATCCAGACCCTGTGTCTGCGTGGGACACAGGCACTTGTTTCTTTCCCTTTTCCTTCTCCTGGTTTACTCAGTGCTTCCTCCGCTTCAGACTCAGACTCACACCAGCCTGGTGAAGGCTGCAAAGCTATTCAGGAAACTGCTGTGTTTGGATTATTTAATTATATTATTTTTTGCCCTGGGTTTAAGAAAAATACACTGCTTGGCCTTCTTGAAAGCTTCTGACAAAAGCACCACAAATCTGCATCTGAATTTGACCCAAACTTTTTTCCTCTGAGGACATTAAAGCTATAAATCATTCCAAACAAATCAAAGCAGTGCACAATTCCGAGTGAAAGGCACCATATGGCCAAGACAGTGCCTGCCAAGTTAACTGCTGGTTTAAAACTTCCCATGGTGAATGGGAACTGGTTGTGCATATGGTCTTTTATTTGCTGGTTGAGTTGTCTTGGATCACTCACACAACCATCCTGTTCTTCCTTAGCATCATTTCTGCTGTGTGAACCTAATTCATGGCTGCCTTTAGGCAAGAGAGCCTCCAACATTGGCTCTTGGCTGTTGTTGTATCAAGGAACACACCACAGAATCATGGAATCATAGAATCCTGGGATGGTTTGGGTCAGAAGGGACACAAAACTCATCCAGTTCCACCTCCCTGCCCATGGAAGGTGCTTGGTTGGAGTCAGACAGTTGCTGTGGCAGCCCAAGGAACTCACCATGAAAGCTCTCTTCTCCTGAGCTGTCTGGAAGCGGCCGTGGCCGAATTTGGAAGTGGTATCAATGAATTTGAGCTCGATGGCTTCGTGGGCCCGGCGGCTCGTGTGCACCAGGAGGGACTGGGAAAGAACAGCCACAACAGCAGGGGAATCATCACAGAACAGCTGGGCTCATGGAAGCAGGGCTGGAATATCCTCTAAACAAATATCCCCTCAGAAATCTGTGTTCTCAGAGCGACACCCTGGGGCTCAGGTGGTGGAGAGCTTGCAGAGCTGCTCTTTGCTCAGCATTGCACAGAATCAGCCAGGCTGGAAAAGACCTCTGAGATCACCAAGTCCAACCTATGACCTGACACCACCTTGCCACCCAGACCATGGCACTGAGTGCCACATCCAGTCTGTCCTTAAACAGCAGGGCCTCCACCACCCCATCCCTGGGCAGCCCATTCCAGTGCCCACTCACCTTTCTGTGACAACCCAAGGTTTCATTTCTGAAATGAACCACAGCCCTCAGAGCTCTGAAGCTCTCCAGCTCCATCCACTGCACCAAGGACCCAGCCAGTGTCCCTGCCCAGCACTTGGAGAGTTCTCCATGTGGGGAATGAGCTCCTGGGGAGCTGCAGCCCATCCCAGATGCTCTTACCTTGCGCAGGGTGAGCACGCGCTTCCTGGTGCCCACCACGCAGCCCTTCAGCATGAGGAAATCATTGTTGACCTCCCCATAGTGAGGGAAACCACCCTGTGGGGAGAGCAGAGAGGTTGGTGGGCAGGAGAGCTGGCTGGGAGGGTCAGGGGGGCACAGCCCTGTCAGCCCTCACCATAGGCGTGATGGTTTTCTCAGTGATGTCGTAGTGCGTCGAGGCGTTGTTCCTCACCACTTTGCCGTCCTCCACGTGGATCCCGTGGCCAATGCGGTAAATCTGGGAACACACAGGCAGGGGGGTGGAGATTCTCCTGCCCCTTGCTGAGGAGCCTTACAGGGTGCCAGAATCCCCTACAGAATCACATGGTTTTTGTTGTCATTATATTGCAGAAGTTCTATTATCAGTACATTACAAGGGTTCCATATTGCTAGAATTTCACACCTCCTTGATGTTTCTTGTAGGCAGCTCCTCTAGGCACTGACTCTGCCTTGTCCTCACAGCAGCCAACTAACTCCAGTTCTCAGTTTCCCCCTCAGCCAGCCAATCCACTCTTTTATAACACTGTTCTTATTGGCTACAGGTGTGGCCTGTTAACATCAGGCCTGCTCCTAATCTTTAATAATTGGTTCAGCTACAACTCTTTAGGGGATAAGATTACTTTCTATACCACCTTCATTTACCCATACTGAATTCCCCTACAGGTTTTCACCATGGCATGCCCTCGAGCAGCAGAAAATCACCAGGAAGGACATGGAGATGTCCAGGGGAGCATCCATAAGGATGCAGGGAGCTGAGGGCAGCGTGGGGAGGAGGGTGTGATGGGATGGGAGGCCTGGGGAGCCCCCTGGCCATACCTTCTTGTTGATCTCGGTGCGGTGGTGGTAGCCCTTCTGGCCGGCCCGGGCAATGGAGTAGCCCACGCGGGCTGGGTGCCAGGCCCCGATGCAGGCCACCTTCCGCAGGCCCTTGTGCGTCTTCCTGGGCAGCTTCTTGGTGTGCCAGCGGCTGGTCACCCCTGGGAGCGTGGGGACAGTCAGCAGGGCCAGCTGGGGCTGGGGAAGGACAGTCCCGTGGCTCTCCTAAAGGACAGTCCCTGGGGGACAGTCCCATGGCTCTCCTAAGGGATAGCTCCTGATAGTTCCCTGGCTCTCCTGAGGGACATTCTCTGAGGGACAGTCCCACCGCTCTCCTGAAGGATATTCCCCTGAGGGACAGTCCCATCATTCTCCTGAGGTACAGCCCCATTGCTCTCCTGAGGGACATTCCCTGAAGGACAATCCCATGGCTCTCCTGAGGGACAGTCCCCTGGCTCTCCTGCAGTTCTCAGAGGAGGCCTTATTGGGAGGAGATCAGGAGCTGTTCTCACTTCCCAGGGCTCTGATCAGACCAGGAGGTGTCTACATTGGACACCCACACCCCTGCACATGTGGGGTTTGAGACATTCACACCATCACAGAATGGTTTGGATTGGAAGGGACCATAAAGACCTTCCAGTTCCAGCCCCTGCCATGGGCAGGGACACCTCCCATTAGACCTGGTTGCTTCATGTACTCACAGTGCCTCTGAGCCTCCTGGGAGGAGGCCTTCACTGGCCTTAATCTCAGGGAAAATCTTTCCAACAGAGATTACCTTGTCAGCTCCTCTGTATCTACACCAGAGGTGCCCCTGTTGAATTTTTCCCTGCTGGAATCCCTGAGATTAAGGAAACCGAGCCCTGCCACAACAGAACTGGATGTCATGCTTAAGATCCTGAGGCTTTTTGCTACTCCCTCCACAGAAAGTTAGGGGTTCCCAGCGTGGTGAACACTCTCCTACCCCAAAAGCACCTGTGAGGAGCACAGCCCCAGAGCCCTGTACCTTTCATGCCGTGGCCCTTGGTGACGCCGATGACATCGATCATCTCGTTCTGGCTGAAGACACTGTGCACAGAGATCTGCTTCTCCAGCCTCTCCCGCACCCAGTCGACCTTCTCAGCCACTGTGCCCCCATTCAGCTGGATCTCCATGATGTGGGCCTTCTTCTGCCTCAGGGGGAGCAGCCTCATCTGCAGCACACTGTGCTTTAAGGGTGGCTCCTCACCCCGCAGACAGGAGGGTGCAGCAGGGATGGGTCCCTCACAATTTGTGAGGGGCACAGGGGTGAGCAGAGCCACTGCTTCACCTCTCTGCCACAGTCGCCCCCTTTCATAGCAGCCCTGGGTCAGCAGCTCTTTATATCTGGGATTTTATGGAGCCAACTCCTGTCCTTGAGCCCAGAGACCCTGCCTGGCCTCGAGCCAGCTTAGCTCTCCCCCAGACCCCAAAGCAGCCCTTAACTCCAGGGATCAGCATTAAAATGGGCCCCACGTGTATCCAGCAATCAGCATCTGGCAAAACTGTGCCTGCCCATGGGGTTATTTTTGCCTAAAACATTTGACACCAGTTGCTAATTTGAGGTGATCATGAGGTCCCTTGCTGACACAGGACTCAGGACCTGCCCGGGCTCTGCCCTGCTCCTGCTCTCCTCCATGGGGTGTGTGGGTTCCCATTGGGGTGTGGGGGCTCCCCAGGGATCCCCTGAGGCTGAGGAAGCCCCCGAGCTGAGGAAGCCCCCGAGCCCCCTGCCCATGCCAGGGGGAAGCTCTGACCTGTGTGTGCATAATGACACGGATGACCTTGCAGTACTTCTTCATGGCTGCAAAATCCTTCTCCAGCTGCCTTTTCCCAGCCTCATCCTGCCATTTTTTGCAGTACTTGGTGAACGCCTTCTTCTTGCTCTTGTGCCTAGGGACAGCAGTGGTTGAACACCCATCAGAGCTGATAAAGGGCTGGTGACAGCACAGAGAGGGGACAGGTCACCCTGGCAGCCACCTCCTCGGAGGCACAAGGAACCTGTGGATACCTGAGCCTCACCTGACTGTCAGGACCTTGAGGTGGGAAGAGGGAGGTGGATAACGAGCCGTGAAAAGGGCTCCTTCAAGGGTAATTCAAACCTTTCTGCATGAGGAATGCAGCTGTCTCTCACTGACTGACTCAGCACCGTCAGAACAGGCGCAAAATCAGAGGCAGGAGAAAGAAGGGATCAGAGCCTTGGGGTGGGTGCGTCTTCATGGCACTTACAGGGGATTCCTGCAGCCAGGAAATCATTTCCCGGCTACCTGTGGGTACCTGAGCCTCACCTGACTGCCAGGGGCTCGGGTGGGAAGAGGGATAAGCCATGAAAACAGGGAGCAAACAGGGACCAGAGGCTGTGGTGGGTGGGTGGCTCTCCATGGCGCTGTGACAGGAGACGCAATTCCCACAACGAGGAAATTCGTGTTCCAGCTTCCCTCTCTGCTGAGGGGGTGTTGATATTTATGAGGGTCTGGGGCCACATTCTGCATCAATTTCCCCCCTGGCAAATCTGGTTTCAGTCCAGCTCAAGGATTCTGGTTAAGTGGGGAGCTGAGGAGCCCAAGCAACGGGAGGGAAAAGGAACCTGCCACACGATATTGTGGAGAGAGCTAACTTGGTTCGGCTATTAGAATAAATTTACATATGCAAATGCTGCTCCCCAGCACTGCGCTGTCTGCAGTGTCCCTGTGCATGACTAAATAGGCAGCAGTTTCACTCCACAGGAGCTGAGCTGTTTGGGCATCCTGGAGAGCCTGTGGAATTCCTGCCAGGGATCCCTCACAGGCAGCCCCCCAGGAGACGCCCACTCTGGGGATCCTCGGATGGAAAAGCCCACCCAGATCATCCAGTCCAACCTGTGAGTGATCCCCGCCTCATCCCCCAGCCCAGGGCACTGAGTGCCACATCCAGGGCTGCCTTGGACACCTCTACCCGCTCCCAGGGCAGCCCCAGTGTTTGGTGACCCTTTTTGGGAGCCCGTACCAGTTCTTGTAGAAGCGCCGGCGGCACTCATCGCTGATGTGCTCAGCAAAAACAGTCTTGAAATTCCTCAGGCCCTTGGGGGTCTCGATGTAGCCCACGACCCCCACCACCACCATCGGGGGCGTCTCGATGATGGTCACGGCCTCCACCTCCTCCCGCTTGGACACCTCTGCAAGGCAGCAAAGGGAAGGGGTGCCAGGCACCCTCTGGGATCATTCCCTGGAGGATTCCAGCTGTCCCAGGGAGTGCTGGCGGCCAGGTTGTGTTTGATGTCAGCCACCCACAGCCTCCCCACCTCCCAAACTCACCATCCCAGCGGGGAGAGTTCCACACTCAGCCCATGCTGAGCTGGCCTTTGACCATCCAAGATGTGGACAGCCAGGATTTAACCCAGAGCTGTGGGCTCCACTGTCAAGGACATATTTTAAGAAAAATCCTTTTGCTGGGATTTTTTCTCCTGAGAAGCCGAGGGGCCTCAGAAACGAAATGCAAACAATGATTATCTGCTGCTGTGGAATGCAACAGGTGGATCTGTGATTGGTCTCAGGTGGTTGTTTTTAATTAATGGCCAATCACAGTCAGCTGGCTTGGACTCTCTGGTCAGTCACAAGATTTTATTATTATTCCTTTCCTTTCTATTCCTTGCTAGCCTTCTGATGAAATCCTGTCTTCTATTCTTTTAGTATAGTTTTAATATATAATTTTCTTTTAATATAATATATTATTATATTATAATATATATTTTTATCTCAATATATATTTAATATATAAAAATATAAATAAATATATTTTATATTAATAATATATAATACTATATAATAATATATATTTTAATATATTAAAATATATTATATATATCATAAAATAATAATATGGTCAGTCACAAGATTTTATTATTATTCCTTTCTTTCTATTCCTTGCTAGCCTTCTGATGAAATCCTTTCTTCTATTCTTTTAGTATAGTTTTAATATATAATTTTCTTTTAATATAATACATTTAACATAATATACTATATATACTTAATATATATAATATATCAATTTATGTTATATATTTTTATATAATTTTATATGATATATTTTAATATATTTATACTATATTTTATATATTTAATATTTTAATATATTTTAATACAATATATTATATATATCATAAAACAATAAATTAGCCTTCTGAAACATGGAGTCAAGATTCTCTTCTCTTGTCCTGGGACCCCTGCAAAAACCACCACACTCCACCACCCTTTCCATAAAGAGCCTTTCTTTCCCCAGGAGCCCATTCCCCCTTTCCCTTTGCCTCCCCGTGCAGCCCAGCCTTACTGAGCCCGGGCCGGTGCACCTCGCGCACGGTGTGGGTCATGCCAGCCTTGTAGCCCAGGAAAGCTGTCAGGTGCACTGGTTTGCTGGGGTCATCCTTGGGCCAGGCCTTCACCTTGCCCCGGTGCCGGCGGCTGCGCTTGTGGGGCAGGAAGCCCAGGTGGCCGTGCCTGGGAGCCGAGAACTTGCGGTGGGACTGCGGAGGGAACCACAAAGGGAGCTGCACTCTCAGCCCAGGGAAATGGGGAGATGGGAAACATGGCAAAAACACAACAAAAATGCCCTCCTTTCAAATGGGAATGCCACAGAGGGCTCTGCACTGAGTCCTAACAGGGCAGGGTTTTGTTCAAGCTTCTGTCGCGGACATGGAAAATGGCATAGAGTCCTGGATTGGTTTGGGGTGGAAGGGACCTTAAAGCCCATCCAGTGCCACCTCTGCCATGGCAGAGACACTTCCACTGTCCCAGGGGGCTCCAAGCCCCATCCAGCCTGGCCTTGGGCACTGCCAGGGATCCAGGGGCAGCCACAGCTGCTCTGGGCACCTGTGCCAGGGCCTGCTCACCTCACAGGGAAAGGATTTCTTCCTAACACCCATTCTAAATCTACTCCCTGTCATTGTGAATTTACTAAATTTCTGGACAAATGATGCCACTTAAATAAAAAACTTAACATCATCTCCCTCCTTCAGCTTCTTCTGAAGGACTTTGAAGAAGAAATACATTCTTTACTAGGTCTGTCTTTCTGTGCTCTTAATTATAACAAATTATTTTGTATCCTGTAGCACCAAAAAGGCCTGCTTGGAATTCCTGGGCTTCGTGTCATCAAGGCAAATGGCACAAAACAAGCAAAGCCAAGGACTGGGAAAACAGGGGAAAGAATGCCCAGAGGAATGGGCAACAGGGACATGCACAGGTTCTAAAGGCCCCTTGAAAGCCAGGTGAGAAGAGATAAACACATAAACCTCAACCACAAGCAGCAAAGGGTTAGTCCTGCACCCACTGCAGCTCCTTCCTAGCTCAGATCAGTCCCAGCGCCCGGCTGTGCTTTCCACCAAGCTCCTTTTCCAGCCTCAGTGGGGCTCTGAGGATTCTGCCCCCATTCCTGTGGCACCACCAGGAGCACAACCCAGCCCTGCTCGCCGACCCTCGCACACACAGCAGAGCTGTACCAACCATAGCACGTCTTCAGGCCGGGGCAGCAGCAGAGAGAGGCTGTCAGGAGGTGCCTCCCCAGATTAATACTTGAGATGGGAATGGGTCTGAAGACACAAATTTAGCCGCTCGCTTCACCCGCCGCGATATTCATTTCATTCCTGGCAGGTTGGACACGACAGTTGTGGTGTGATAAAGGTCACTTGCTGCTGGCTCAGTTTACGCTTCTCCCTCCTGAACAGCTCTGATGTGAATGGCAGGAATTGGGGCAGTTTCCTGAATTAGGGCAGTTTCCAAAAGGGGTACCACACACCCAGAGCTGTGAACACCTGCACCAGGAACCCCCAGCACAGGCTGAGAATCTGTCAGCCCAGGATTGTGATCCTGGCTGGAAAAGAGATTGAGACAATACATCTCAGAGTCACAGAGCAGTTTGGATTGGAAGGGACCTTAAAAATCATCCAGTGCCAACTCCTGCCATGGGTGGGACACCTTCCATGGCTGAGAGGGGCTCTCAGCCCGGGTGTCCCTGCGTGCAGGGAGGGCAGAGCAGGGACCCAGTGGCAATGGCACCAGAATCACAGGCAGGAGCTGATCCCAGGCAGTTCTGCCTGGACACGAGGCAGAGCTTTACCCCTGTGCAGTGACCGAGCACAGATCCCACAGAGAGTGTGGAGGCTCCCCGTGAAAAACGCCAATCACTTGTTTTTAGAATTTTAAAAGTTTAATAGTAATAAAATGGTTATTAAAATAGTAATATAATTAGAGTAATAAAAATTTGGACAAGTAGGATTAGGACAATATGAGACAATAAAAAACAAAGAGTTACAGACAGTCCGGGTACCTTTTCTGGGCAAAATAGGCCTGAAAAAGGACTCACGTTAACAGAGGATTAACCCTTAAAAGCAACAGCCTGTTGTGTATTCATACATCTCATACATGATGCGTAAATTCCATTCAAACACAGGATTCTGGCTGGGCAGTGTCAGCTTCTTCCTCTGAATCCTGACGGTGTCTTCAGCGGGCTGAGCGAGGCAGGAAGAAATTCGTTTCTTCTGATAATGGGGCAATAAATTATTTTTCTCTGAAAGATTCAGGTGTCCTCTGGCTGCTCTCTCGGTGTGAGTTCTTTCTTAAAAAAAAGTATCCTACATAGCATAGTTTCTATTTTAACAATATGTTATAACCTAAAACTATATTTAACACACTACTTAAGAAAATTAATACAGCATTACTTTCTAACGTAACACATATAATATTCATTTTAATATTTGCAAAAAACCAATCATAAAATATGCATTTTTCACAGAGGGGGACTGTCGGGATGGCCCTGTGAGCAGGGATGGGGACAGAAGGGATGGCCCTGTGAGCAGGGAGGGGACAGTGGGGATGATCCTGTGAGCAGGGAGCAGGGATGAGGACAGACGAGATGGCCCTGTGAGCAGGGATGGGGACAGAAGGGATGGCCCTGTGTGCAGGGATGGGGACAGTTGGGATGGCCCTGTGAACAGTAAGCAGGACAGTCGGGATGGCCCTGGGAGCAGGGATGGAGACAGTCGGGATGGCCCTGGGAGCAGGGATGGGACAGTTGGGATGGCTCTGTGAGCAGGGAGCAATGAGGGGACAGTCAGGACACGCTGTGGGCTCTGCCGGCCCGTCCCATGCCGGGCTCCCCTCACGGAGCAGGCACACCCGCACTACAACTCCCGGCGTGCCCCGGGGCCGCCGCCATATTCCCGTGCCCAGCCCCTCGGGGTCGCCGCCATGTTCCCGCGTTCCCGCCCCCTCAGGGGTCGCCGCCATCTTTCGCTGCCGCCGTCGCCGAGATGCCGGAGGATCACGACTGGGAGGCGTACAAGGTGCCGCCGACCCGCACCCCCGTCTCCGAGAGGACCACCTCGGTGCCCAATCCCGTCGACTACTTCCAGAGCGCCTTCAACTATGTCCTCGACACGCCCGTCACCTTCATCCGAGGTAGCGGCGGGACAGGACATCCTCCCCTCATCCCCGTCCCCTTTCCCCTGGGAGTCGAGCAGCGGCTCGGGGATGGGGACACCGGGATGGGCACACCGGGGCACGGGGCAAAGGCGTGAGGACACGGGCACCTGGACAGGCAAAGGGCACGCGCAAGGACACAGGGACACTGGTCCTGACAGTACCGGCACGGGCAGAGCCACAGGACACTGGGACACAGGGACACGGGACATTGACAAGAACACAGCATGGACACAGGGACACAGACAAATACATGGCCTGGACAGAGGGACACGAGACACAACATGGACACGGGCAGACATGGACACAGGGACATGGGACACTGCACAGACATGGGAACATGGGACAGACAAGAGCACAATATTGGTAATGGGACAGGGACGTGAGAGACAGTGTGGACACTGTGACAGATACAGGGACATCAGGACACGGCTCGGACACTGGGAGAGTGCAGGGGATACAGGGACACAGTGACACAGGACAGAGGGGCAGACACACAGCTGAGCACGAGCTGGACACAGTGTGGACCCACTGCTGCTGCTGGGGAAGGTGGCACCGGGCAGTGCCAGCCCTGTGTGGGCTGTGCTGCCCTCGGAGCTGGGCCGGGTGTGTGACCGGGCTGTCCCTGCAGACTGGATCGAGCGGTGGCAGAACAGGAACAAGTTCTACTACTACCACCAGAAGTTCCGCCGTGTGCCCGACCTGAGCCAGTGCCTGGAGGGTGACTACCTGTGCTACTACGAGGCCGAGGCTCAGTGGAGGAGGGACAGGTATGGCTGCCCCTGGGCTGTCCCCAGGCCAGCTCACAGCAGAGCACACAGCTCTGGGACCTGCAGCATTTTGGGGATGCTGGGGTGCTGAGGCACCACCTCCAGCCCACCCTTTACACATCTGTGTCCTGCTGTGCCTGCTGCACTTGTGGGCATGGTGGTGTTAGGGACCAGGACGCTGAAAATCCCAGAGCTGACATTCCACAGGGTGTCCTCAGCCCTTGGTTCAGCTCTTCTGTCTATGTTCCCGCAGGATGGTTGATCAGGAGATCGTGGAGATAGTCCGGGAAAGGATGGCTGCGTGCAAGCAGAGGGAGGGGCCCAACCAGTTCCAGAACTGTGCCAAGGAGATGGAGCTGCTGGCACAGGTCACCAAGGCCTACCAGGACAGATGTGAGTGTGGCAGCAGCACACAGGGCACCGGCTCTGAAATCACATCCTACACTCAACATGGAACACAGGCTCGTGGGAGGCACTGCTCAGGCATCTCCTTTCTTTTTCAGACGGTGATCTGGGTTTCCATGGCAATGCACGGACATGCCTGATGAAGCAGAAGCACAGGATGATGGAGGAGAGGAAAGCAGCACAAGAAAATCAGTAGAGCTGAAACAGTTCCTCCCTCCATGGTGCTGGTATCCAAGTGCATGTTGCTTCCTTGGCCTCCACAATAAACAGACATCTGTACAGTTGGGCTCTGTATTCATTCTTTGAAGAGCTCTGCAAGCCCTCAGCTCCAGGCACTTGGGGTTGCTGCCACTGTTGGGGTTTTGCCCTCTGGACTTTTTCCTCTCCTTCATGAGCCTCCTGTGTGTGCTGCTCTGCCCTGGCTCTGAATTCCCTCACTGAATGAAGATGAAGTGCCCAAGGCCAGGCTGGACAGAGCTTGGAGCAGCGTTGTTTGGTGGAAGGTGGAACTGGATGAGCTTCCAGGCCCTTCCCAACCCACCCCATTCCGTGGTTTAACCCATCTGCCCCAACCCCAATCACACCAAGCAGATTCCTGGTTCTCTGATCATTTTATTGTCCTACAAAACCCCTTAGGTGGTGGCCACAGCGGCTGCCTGGGTCCTCTGCACCGACACTCTGGTGTGGGTCTTGGCCAGATGATCAGTGAACTCCTGCAAGAAACACCAACGGGGTTATTCCCCCAAAGCCCTCACGGGTTCCTCAGCACCACTCCCATCCCTCGTGGCACTGGGGCTGGGGTGGCTCAGCTTTACAGCTACCAAACCTTTGGGTCCAGAAATCTGAATTTTAGGGGCAATTTTGAGTTGTGA